ATTGCTAATGGGAATGGACCATCTGGGTGGGAAATAAGAGGGTCTGGGAGCCAATGGGGTCCCCGGGGAGCTCCAGAATGCAAACGAGGGGGGCACAATTGCCTCTGGTGGACACTGCTGAGCCCCCACGGTCCATCTCAGAGGAGCCGGTCAAACATCTGCCTCCCTCGCCTGCCTGGGGGCCCTTTGAGACCAGGTCCCGTGGCCTTCCCACCCCGGTCACATGGCAGAGTTAGTGCATTCGCTCCACATTTGTCAATGGAGCACTTACTTCGTGGCAGGCTCAGCAGAGCAAATATGGTGGATAGGTCCGAGGAGGAGGAAGGAAGGGGTCAGCCCTGCTAACTCCCTTGGCGGGAGGCACCCTCCTTCCTTGGGGACCTCCGCAGCGTGGCCTGGCCTCGTGCAACCAGCGGTGGAATGGCCACTAGCATCTCACCCCAGGCATTTCTGGGAGTGACTTCACTTCTGGAATGAGCTTGGAGGGGGCAGTGAGGCTGGATCAGGGTTTCCTCGGTGAGGCCTTGTGGGAGGCTGGGGCAGCACTGGTGGAGGCCGGTACTCCCGGTGAGCCAAGGCTGCGGCTGGGTTCAGCGCTTCCCGATTCCCACCACCTCCCGATTCCCACCCGGGGAGCTTGCTGAGGTGCCTGTTTACAAGCTTTAGTCGTTCAGGCATTCAGGCATTCACATCTGCCTTGGGGAGATGGACTGCAGACAGGAGAGAGACCACGGAAACATGCCTATCCCCACACCCCCTTCCAGAGCCTGCCCCTATCTGGTACCCACAACTCCTCCAAATGCCCAGGATGGCTCCTGAGCTAGAGGGCAGTTGTCCCTCCTGGCCCCTTCATGCCCTTTCTTGAGGCTTTCTTGGAAAGGCCACAGTTTCTCTGGAGAAGTCAGGGAAGGCTTTCCGGTGGAGGGAGCACTGAGTTGCATCTCGATAGTCTATATTGTTTGAGCATCTAGTGAACCACATGCATCATCTCAATTTATTCCTCTCAACAACTCTGAGGACGGAATTCTTCTCCCCTTTACAGATGAGGACATAGGCACAGAGAGGTTAAGGAACTTACCCAGGGTCACAGAGGGAATGGTAGACTCAGTCTCCAGTGCTCTTTAACTCCAAAGCCCTTCTCTGAGTCACTTTGCCGTATTGCCTGCCTTCGTAAAGCCCCACTGTGTGCTGTGTCCTGGGGTCCGTGCCTGGGAGGGTCCCATAGTCTGTGGGAGTGGACAGACACGCACAGAGATAATTAAGTCTAGCTATGAAGACCCACGGTGCCACCTCTGGCAATACTAATGTGACAGCAGGATCGGAAAGCTCACCCCACTAGCTACAGAATTACAGTTCGGTGAGCCGTGTCTGAAATGTGAACGGAGGGCTGTGGGAGCATCCACAGGGCCAGGCAGGGGTCAGGGCCACTGGAATGGGGGAGTGAGAGACTTTAGAGCTGGGCCTTGAGTCATGAATAGGAGTTTTCCAGATGCAGAAGTGGTGGGCGAGGAGGGAACATCCCCTTCGAGAACGCTGTGCACAAATACTCGGTCTTCCTAAAGGAGAGGCGGTGGACATAGATGCCTCCAGGACTCAGGACCAGAGACACGCGTGTCGCCCTCTACGCAGTGAAGATGGGCAGGCCACTGCACGGAATGGCCCCGGCAGCTGAGCAGTACGGCAATGGGTCAGTTTTCCAGGGGTTTTCTGCCGCCTGCCCCCGCTGGCCACTTTGACGCTAGCCTCCGAGTGTCCTTGTCAGCAGCAGTCACTGCACCCTCTTGTCATTTTCTGCTTCTGGACTACCCAGGTCTGGCACCAGGTTCGTACTGTGTGTAACTCGGAGTACATAGGTCACGAGCTAGAGCCGGCCGGACCCGGCGCTTTGGTACATGGATGCTGTGCTTCCTGCCTGGCACCCTAGGGACGCTCCTTGCTCCCTGTCTAGTTCCGGGCTGAGCTTCGATGAGTGGAGGGCGCTCAGATTGGTTTCTAGAAGTCTGTTCTGCTCCCCACTGTGTCTCTGAGCCAAGGATGGTGTCTGGCACACAGTCGGGGCCCAGTAAATACTTGCCGAGTGAGAGGTTGCTAACCTGTCTGGAAGAGCCCTGGTCTGGATGTCATGAGGTCTGGGTCTGAGCCCTGCCTTGGTCACTTCTTGACACGTGACCTTCTTTTAAGTGTTACCTCTTCAGCTATCCAATAGAAGTCTCAACGACCCTACCTCAGAAGATTAACTGAAGCACGTGTGCACACAGACCCTCCCTGGTCCTCCCACTGGCCAGACTCACAGGAGGCTCTGGGGACATGGTTGGAGAAATGCCACTGCAGCGGCCCGGGGCCGGCCATCTGGCCTGCTCGTCGACAGAGTGAAGCATGTGAAGTGTGGTATCCCCCTGGGCCTGGGACAGTGACCGTCTGGACCTCTAAGCATAGATCACTAAGTGGCCCTCAGCTCCACAGTAGCGGTGGGGGCCGGGGGCAGGAAGATAGGCTATGGTGTGACCAAAAGCCACAATCATGTAACGGGAGGGAGCGGACCCTGGCCTGGAGCCTGAGAACACAGCCAAGAGGGCAGCCTGCCACCGCTGCCCCTGGAGGCCTCCTGCTGGAACCCGGCCTGGTCCTGTCTGTGAGGGGAACTGTGCGGCTGTCAGCGCCTCCCCCACCGCAGGAGGAGCAGCCCTCGACGCCTCAGGGGGCCGGTAGCCTAGTCAGAGCGGGCCCTTGCCTGGTGCGGGGGCGGTGTCAGACACAGACTAATAATTACACCTGCTCTTGTTGGGGGCTCTAACTGAGGGAGGTCCTTATGGAGCCTGGGGAGCGGAGGCCTCTGCTCTGGGCTGGTGGGGTGTAAGGAAGGTGCCATGGTGTGGGTGTGCGCAGTTAGGACCCAGCCCATGGAGCTTGGAAATACTACTCCCCTCCTCCCACCTGCCAACGCCAGCCTGTCCACTCTGGCATGGGACCTTGGTCAGTGGCTTCCTCCTCAAAGTCTCTGTGTCCCTATCTGTCCAGTGGGAACAGAAATTTCCTCCTTGCCTCAAGGAGGAAATTCAGATTCAGTGGCGCACCCAGCCTGGTCCTGGCCCACAGTCTCCAGATACCCAGGAGCCATCACTGCTATCTATTACTTGTCTCCCATGGCCATGGTCACTACTTAAGGCTGAGTAGGATTCTGCCTGCGAGGGAAGGGCATGCCTGCAAAGGAGCTGAAGCTCAGAGGTGACTGTGTCCGGAAGTGGAAGGTGGGCAGCAGGCAGGGACAGTGGGGATGGGAGCTGATGGCGGAGCTATGGGGAAGCTGTGGGCAGGGTGGACCAGGGATCAGCGAGTGTCTGGGCACCTCTCGGGGGTGGGCGGTGAGGTGGGCTCTCCGCTCTTAGCGGGTGGGCGCCGGAGGCTGGAAGCTGGGCAAGGCTTGGTCAGGTTTGTTGCCCCTGCCTGGGTTCCCAAAAGCAGAACCTGGGGTAGAGCTTGCAGGCTATTTCCTTAGTAGGGTGAGTGGGCCCTGAAAGCAGGAGTGACAGGGGCAGAGGGAGGAAGCAGTTTCCAGCTGACTGCTGCTGAATGTCACTGATGCTTGAACCAGCAGGACCATGGTTCCAAGAAACCGTATGAGCTGCAGATCAGGACTGTCCGTGAGAGGGAGGAAGTTGGAATGGTTCAGCCATCAGCGCTATCTTCCTAGGGGTCGAAGTTTTGCTCCTGAGGCCTTAACTCTCCCATATTCCAAATCGTGCCCAGCTGGGCACTGAATGGGGTCTATAGTGTCTCATCAGTGGGGAAGCCCTTGGTGGAAGGCAAGGGGTACACCACAGCTGTTGGGCTTTGCCGGTGAAATTAGCACCCAGTAGAACTGGAAAAGGGGCCAGTGAGGCCAGGGGCATCTGAAGGGGTCCCCCTGGGGGTCTGATTCCTGTATCTCATAGGAAAACTGCTCTGCTGGCTGCTGGAGTGGAGGACAGCCCCAGGGCCCTGCCTGGGAGGGGCTGCACCCAGGTGCCTGAGGGATGAAGAAGGGGGGGCGTCCAGAGGTCAGGGGGATGTGTAGGCATGGGCGTTATCAACTCAAACACATACAGGTACAGGTACCAGCCTCTGGGGTGCTGGGGAGAGCGGGCTCACCGAGACCCAGCCCAGACTCCTCCACGCTGATGAATGGTGCCGAATGGGGGGGGGCCTGCCTCCATCTCCCCCATCTGTAGCACAGTCCCCCTCATGGGCTCTTGTGAGGATTAGGTGAATAACGGGGTAGGAGCACTTATGCACCGTTAAGGGCTGGGCAGGGGGAGTTAGCATTCAGCAGTTTCCCTGAGCACGCACAGTGAGCTTACTACATACTGGTCCTCCTGTTAGGAGCTGGGGTAGGGCAGTGGGCGAGACAGCCAGCGCTCCCGCCCTCGTGGAATTTATGCTCCCAGGAAGACAGACGATAAACGTGTAAACGCATTCATTTTTATTATAGTATCAGGGAATGTTATGGGGGTTTTGTATGTTTTTTAAGCTGAGTCGGAGGCCAGGAGGAAATAGGGCTGGTGGAGAGTGGTCAGGGAAGACCTCTCTGAGGAGGTGGCCCCAGAGCGGGAGCTACACAGTGCGGATAAAGGGCGGAGGCATCATATATAAAAGAGAAAGTATATAAAAGGGCCTCAGCCCCTCCCTGCACACAGTAGGTGCTCGACAGTGGCTGCTGGTGCTGTTAGGATTGCTAAGGGTAACAGTCGTGGTGGCTTGCTCTGACAGAAGCATCAAGGCAAGAGAAAAAGAGAGGGTGAGGGGCTGCTGCCCCCGCGGAGACCAGTCCCGGTAACAGACCGATGGGGTTGTCCCCCTTTCACACATCAGCAGCCCGGGACGTAGGGTGACCAGCCCGAAGCTACACAGCGAGTGAGCGCCACCACCAGGCGTCCCTGAGCCGTCCCTGTCTCTGCAGGA